CCTAGATTAAGGCTTAATATTAGAAATCTTTAGTGTAATAATATTATTATATAGTCTAATCTATTCTTAAAGCTTCTACTTTATACCTTTAAGCTTCTTAATCTTTTAGTGTAGGTTACTATTAGGTACTAATCTATTAGATAAAGTATTATTAACTAGTTAGACCTTTTAATCCTTATATTTATATATTATATAGATTATAGCTACTTCTTTAACTTTTTTATACTAATAAGTAGCTTTATTTTAGTGTTTCTAGATCTTATAGTAGATTAACTACTTCTCTTAGTAAGAGACTAGTTTTCTTATAAATTTATTATAGAGATCCTTCTTTACTAGTTTATAATTCTATTAATCTAACAGACATACTACTATTACCTTATAAATATAAGCTACCTATAGTTTAATTACAGCCTATATAACTAAGGCTATAATCTCTTTAGCTTAGTTTTAATTAATTATAGCTACTATCTTCTTACCTTCTTTAAGGTTAATCTCTAGGTAAAACTTATTAGATCTAGTAGCACTCCTAGGTTTACTATTAAAATCTAATTTTTTAATCTAAAGACTATAATAATATAGTTATTAATTTATAGTAAGATATTAGTAATCTTAGTTAAGCTATTTATCTTAATTACCTTAATAGGAATCTTTAAAAAGGCTTCTTTTATATAGATATATATAGTAATTAGTTACTTACTATACCTAAAGGAGAGTTAAGTGTCTTAAGTAAAAGGCAGGCCTAGTAGAAGTAGATTAGTTATTTCTTATTTATCCTTAATAAAGAAGTAGAAGGTTACTTTATATCTATTAATCTAGATATTAGTAAAGTAGAAGCTATTAAACGTTATATTACTACCTAGATTAGACTTAAAAGTCCTTATTTAGAGACTAGTAACTATATATAAGATCCTAGTAGCTTTAATATACTGCTTTAAGAGGATATTAACTTATACTTTAGTGTTAAGAATTACTAAGATTAAAAGGCCTTTATTTAACTAATTAACACTTAATATTTAGACCTTTAGTTATAAGTATATATTTAAAATAACTAAGGTTAGTAGTTTTACTATAGGCTTTACGCCTTATACTTTATTAATTTTAATAAATATTAAGGACTTACTATTAATTAAGGAATTATACTTATTTAGTAGTTCTTTAATATCTTTTTGCTATTAAGCTGTTTCTTTAAGATTAATTAAGGACTTTAAGGCCTTAATCTAAACACCTTTAGTGTTAATATACCCTTAATTATATAAGGTAGCGCTTATAGCTATATTAAACTCTAGCTATATCTTTTAGAGAAGTCTAATAAGAAGTAAGACTAAAGCGTCTAGCTATTTATTAGCTAACTTCTTTACTTCTTAATATAGATTAAGGCCTTAAGCTTACTTAGAGGCTATAACTTTTTTTAATTTATTAGGCTCCCTCTTACCTATATATAGTTTATAGTCTTTAAGGGTAGTTATAGGTTCTATAGGCTTTAGCTATAGTAAAATAGTTATATTTATTTTAGCTAGTAAAGATACTTAATCTAGATTATAATTATAGTTACTATTATTATTAACCTTTATAATCTCCTTATTCTTTAAGGTAAATAAAATAGTTTTTTTCTTAATTAGCTAAGGCCTAACTAACTTCTTTATACTATATACCTTTTATAATTTATCTTAAGTATATTTATCTTAGCTAGTATAGTTCTTAAAAGGCCTACCTTATTATACTATAAAGATATTAGCATATTCCTACTTCTTATCCTCTAGTTATACTATATATAGACACCTAATATTACTTATTAGTGCTATAGATAGTAAATCTAGGGTGCTTTACTAAAGGTATCTAACTTATTAATCTAGAATACGCTTTACTAAGAACTTATAGTCTTTATTAGTAGATATATTTATAATATAAGAGAGTAAGGTAACTTAATTAGTAACTTTACTTTATTAGCTGTCTTTAATTACTAGAAATAGTATATTATTTATTAGACTTTACCTATCTTACTTCTTATAATACTAGGCTTTTTAGACTAAAATTATAAGATATACGTCCTTATTAAAGGTGTATTACTAATAATCTTAAATAAATTAATACTTATTAGACTAGTAGTACTAATATTTATCTTTTAGTCCTAATACTTTTACTTAATTTAGTTATACTATACTAACTTTAAACACTTAAGTAGACCCCTTTAGCTAAATAGAATTCTAATATATCTTAAGTTTACTTATACTATTAGTAAGGTCTTAATTAGTATTACCTAGGACTAATTAGTTAACCTAGATATTAATAGTTAATTATCTTAGTTACTAGTAATCTTAGTACTAATAAGTAAATTTTTTTTAGGACTATTACTAGGCTAGTTAAATTATAAAGGTACTATTAGCCTTACTATTAGTAAATAAAGGCCTATACTTCTTCTTATAAGTAATTATATTAAGAAGTCTACTTTTAAGTATTATATACTTTATTAATTAAATAAAGGCTAAAAGGCTAATCCTTATCTTATTTACTAGTTTTTCTATAGTCTTAGTGTTAAATTACTTATATATAGCCTTAATTAAGCTCTTATTAAAAATTATATAGAGGCCTTATTACTTTACCTTAGTAATTATATTATTAATACTAATAAAAAGTGCCTTAGCTAAGTATAAGTCTAAGCTAGAGATTAGTAATCCCCTTATAACCTTTTTAATTTATTTTTTTTTATTAAGAAATTAATTAGTATCTTATCTTTTATACTTCTTTAAGAGATAGGCCTTAGCCTAGACCTAAGGTAAGTCTTTAATTATATCCTTTACTAAAGTTTAATAATCTCTACCTATATAGTAGGCTACTAGTATACCCCTTAATTAGTCTAGTACTTATATAAGCTTATATTAATCTTTATATTTTTTTAAGAAGTTAATAATATTATCTCTAGAAAAGACTATAGCACTACTTTAGCCTAAAAGGGGTATCTTAAAAAAGCTTAAGTTCTCTCCTTAGTTAAGGACTATATTTACTATTACTTATAGGACCTTAGGCTAAATCTAGGTAGTAAGAGTAGTAAGAAAAGTATCTATAAAAAGGTTAAGTTCTTAAGAGATAAAGGGAGGTTTCTATTTCTAATTAGGTACTATAAGTAGAGGATTAGAAGTGTTACTACTCTTTTTATCCTTAAAAGGATTAATCCCCTTTAGCTCTTAATACTTAGTAAAGGCTAGTCCTCTTACTAAAGTAGTATTTAGAGTTAAGCCTAAGGTATACTTAGGAGTAGCCTCTTAAGAAAAAGTAGTATAGTTATTACTTATTATATTAGTTAGTAGTTATTTAGTATATAACTTATTAATTAAGTTAAAAATTCTAATAATTATATTCTAATTTTAACTTTTTAATATTTTTTTTAAGAGTACTAAAGTAACTTATCTTATTATCTAAGCTAAGGCTATACCCCTAATTAGTAGAATTTATATAATTATCCTTAGCCTTAGCTAAACTTATTAACTAACTTTTAATAAAAAAGGTCTTTTAATTTATTATAATTTTTTTATAAAGTTATAATAGTTACTTAAATTAGTATACTTATAAGAAGTCTTAAAGCTAATAGCTTTATATCTTTAGATTAGGTAATTCTTAAGGCGCTATCTTATATTAATTAACTATAAGTAACTAATTATAATAGACTACTTTACTTATAAAGACCTTTAAGAGCTTTATCTAGCTCTTTTAGTATTTTTATAATCTATCTTAGTTAGTATTATAAATTAGTAACCTTTAAGGTTCTAACTTAATATCTTAGTCTTATAATTAGGTAATTTCTATTATCTAAGTTACTAATTTATTACTTTATTATCTTATTATCTTTTTAAGGTTTTCCTTATTCCCTTAATTAGTTACTTCTTATAATCCTATTATCTTATTATTATTACTTTTTATAATTACTTACTTAGTATACTTAACTAAATATCTCTTTAATTAGTTTAAACCTATAGTTAATATTCTAAAAAGGGAGACTATTAAAAGCGTATAAGGTATAAGGACTCTTATAGTGTAGTAACTATATAGAACACTATAACTACTAAAAGTAATATAAGATTCCTTACTAATTAGTATATAAATTATATTAATCTATCTAAAATTAATATTAATTATAAGTATTAAACTATAGGATTAAGTATAATTATATATTAATTAGGTAGGTAATTACTCCTAATTATCTTATGTTATTATAATTAAAAGTAAATTATAAAGAGGCTTTAGTTTAATTAGAAGGTAGGTATAAGTATAAAAGATAAATTATATGTGTCTATCTCTAAACCTATTAATACTAACTTATATCTTTATACTTAATTAGGATTAGAATCTTCTAATTAGTCTGTATACTACCTTACTCTAGGCTAATCGCCCTACCCTGCTCTAGTAAATAAGTATATTAGTTATTATAAATATATATATTAAACTATTAATTATTAAATTATAAGGATTATAATAGTTACTTAATTAATTCTTTTATATATTATATATCTATAGTAAATTACTATAGAAATAGGGAAAAACCCCTATTTCTTAGTTAGGAAATCCCTAGCTAATCCTAGCAATATTATTAGTGAAGTTACTATTAGAAGTAGGGCTAATTTACCGCCTATTCCCTAACAATTCGCTATAGGGCAACTGTGCATTTACTGGCTAATTCACGTGTAATTCTGCCACATTTGACATATTATTCTCCCTTGATTTGGGTGGAGAAATCCATCTGAGAAATGACTAGCCCATTTGCAGCCAATTGCCCCACAGGCGACCGTACGTATCTGGCCAATTCGCTCACTTTGACAATTTCCCTGTTCCCACAGGATTTCACTAGAGTTACACAACACATTACAAGAATTAATTAATTAACCATTACAATCCCTACGATTTAACACATAGAGACCTACACTGAGCCGAGCCTGAGTTCCAGCAATAAGTACGCTAACTCAATTTCGACGAATCCGCTCGCCATATTTGTGTGACAACCGTCAGTCATGTCAAAAACATCAGGACCAGCCAGCTATACCCAGTTCGCGTGCGTAGGCACCGGCTTCTCGGCCATTGCACTCGGGGCAACGCTGAAGAGGTGGCATGGCATCGGCGACATTCGGTTTTTCGAGCGACACAGTGAGCTTGGGGGAACCTGGTTCATCAACCAATACCCCGGTATGAAATCATGTCGCGCGTGGCTTGGTCAAGATAATCTCTAACATGTTGCTTCAGGATGCGCATGTGATGTTCCTAGCGCACTGTATAGTTTTTCCTTCGAGCCCAACCCTGACTGGAGTCGAATCCTGTCCCCTCAAGGGGAGATATGGCAGTATCTTTACGATGTCGCAACGAAGTACTCGCTCATCGACAGGATGCGTTTCGGGGTCAATGTCCAACGATGCGAATGGTCTGAAGAGAATAAACGATGGCGCATGACGATCCGGGAATACAACACCGGCAAGATATTCTACCACGAATGCCAGTTTCTTTTTGCAGCCACTGGTCAGCTGATGCAGCCGCAGGAGATTGACGTGCCCGGCGCGAGCAACTTCCAAGGCCGCATATTTCACTCGTCCCGGTGGGACAAGGATGTAGATATCGAGGGGAAGCGAGTGATAGTGTTCGGCAACGGATGTACCGCCTCGCAGATTGTGCCCGCGATTGTATCCAAGACCAAGCACTTGACGCAGGCCATCCGTTCAAAGCAATGGTTCCTGCCACCTGTCGATTCCGAGAACACAGCCATATTGAAATACTTTTTGAGATACATCCCAGGAACGATCTTCCTGCAGCGGTTTCTGTGCTATGCGAAGGCAGAGGATGCTCTCCGAGGATTCTACATGACAAAGGCTGGCAACAAGTATCGTCAGGGGATGAGGGCTAAAGCCGAGAAATACATGAGGGAGACGGCGCCTGCAAAATATCACGACAAGTTGATTCCCGATTTCGAGATCGGATGCAAGCGGCGCATATTCGATGCCGGTTATCTCCAAAGCCTGCATTCAGAGAACCTGACTCTGTTAGACGAGCCAGTACAAGAGATCCTGCCCGAGGGCATCCGTACACAGAACGGGATCATAGAGGCGGATGTCATTGTTATGGCCAATGGGTTTGTGACGAATAATGCCGTTGGGGGGCTAGAAATCGTTGGCCGGGAAGGAGAAACAATTGATCAGCATTGGGAGTCCTTCGGCGGCCCAGAAGCTTACAATTGCACCATTGCGAACGGCTTCCCCAACTTCTTCATCCTCCTTGGTAAATATGATTCACAATACGCCCTCAAGAACAACTGGCACTGACCTCTGGGCAGGACCTAACTCACTCACGGGGCATAACTCTGCCATCATCGCAGCTGAGAACTCCGTCAACTATGCTCTGCGTATCATCGAGCCACTCCTTGACGGCAAAGGCACAGTTGTCGAAGTTACCCGACAAGCAGAGCAGCAATACGTCGACCGGATACAAAGAGACATGGAGAATACTGTGTGGTTCACCGGATGCACGAGCTGGTACTTGAAAGATACCAAGGACGGCAAGAAGTGGAATGGAGTAACCTATCCATATTCTCAGGCATACTTCTGGTACCGCTGCTTATTCCCCAACTTCAAAGACCTTCGAATCAGCGTAAGTTGCAAGCTGTCATTTTGATGGGCCGCCACACTGATATTAAACAGGGGCCAACCCACCGAGGGCGAAGAAGGCGAACCTTACCAAAAATTGCCTTGGCGGCCTTCCTTGGATACATCTTGTCCATTCTTTTTGGACTGAGCCGTAACCCTGTGGCTGGTAGCCGTTACTGGCAGCAGTCGAGGGTGGGACTGCAAATGATGTGGAATATTTTCATCGAGAAATTGACCAAGAGACTAAAGTAATAATGCACAATGTAGCAGAGGAAAGATATGCGTGAATAAGTACGAAAACTAGGGCTGTCTAATAGCGTGGAAGAGCAAATCTAGTTATCTATAATAACCAAAAGAACACAGAGACTAGTTCATACCATTACTGAACCCACCCTTCCTTTGCCATTACCTCCCTCGTCCACTGTTCCAATTTCTCTGCAAGCGCGTCTTCTTTCGATACGGTGCTCTGTCACCATGGCTCGCCAAATCTCCGAAAAACGTCCATGTATGAACCGCTTTGCTCCGCCTTCATATCACGACTCGCCGCACAGTACAAACTGTTCCACGAACCCTTGTCGGCCGACCAAGTTAGTCCAAACATGCGTAGGACTGAGAGAATGCGCATCATGCCCGACCCAGTGGCTTCCATCGACGAGGCGAGTTTCGTCTCAACGACGCCTGGGTGAACGGACGAAACCCAGATCTCGCCCTCTCGGTTCCGTGCCCTAACAGAACCGGGGCCGTACGTCGTATGCAGGGTCTTGGTATGCAGAATGTTGGCAAGCTTGCTCTGTCCGTACCGCAGCCACGGGTCCCCGTCCTTGAGCGAAGGGTCCTCGAAATTGATGCCGCCCGTGGGTGCGCCCAAGTGGCCCGACGAAGTGAGGTTGGCGATGCGCACGCTGCCTGGAGGCAGCGTCTTGGCGGTCCGCAGCATCACAGGAAGCAGGTGGTCCGTCAAAACCCAGTGCGCGAGGTAGTTGGTCTGCCACTGGGCCTCGTGGCCATCTTTGGTCATTTCAAAGGGCGTCGCCATGATGCCTGCGTTGTTGACCAGTCCGTGCAGGGTCGTTTCGAGGGTTAGGAATCTCCTGGCGGCCGCGACGACGCTGCTGAGGTCCATGAGGTCCATTTGCAAGATGTCGATGTTGGCCGAGGGGTGCAGCTGCTTGATGGTGGCGATGGCTGCTGCTCCCTTCTCTGCGGATGGGGCGCACAGGTACACGTGGGCGCCGTGTTGTGCTAGGTAAGCTACGGTGTAGTATCCTCTATGGTTTGATAAGATCAGCGACTCGGACTTCGTGACAAGGGTGAGAGGGGGAGATTTACATGCCGGAGTTCCCTCCTGTGACGATAAATGATGTGCCCTCAACATCGGGGAGTGTGTCGGGGTGGAAAGTCATGTTGAAACAACGAGAACCGGAATTGATTTTATTTCTGTTTCGCGTGCAATACGATGAGATAGATGACTCAATGTCTTTGAATAAGGTCTATGAGTTTGATGATACAAAAGATCTGTCGAACTGGATGTCCTCTTGCCATCTCTATATGGCTTTCGCAGAACGAGATCCTGGATGCTTGCATTTGGAATAGCTTTCCAATATCAGTCATTGGGAGCAACCTGCATGACCCGTGGGCCCCCGGTCAACGATGCTAATACTTCCAGTTCGATCATGTTGAAGTAGAGAGAAACATAAGAGAACCGAGTGGACGAGTGAGCCAGCTGCATGAAGTGCGGGGCTCACCAAGCTACCAATGGTATCATCGCGCTTGTGAAGCGAGCAGTGCATATGTTTGATGCTGGGGATTGTGATGATGGTCTACGATGTGAGCAGGTCGCATGACGCTAGACCTGCTCCAGTTAGACAACCCGTAGTATGTCGTTCTGTCGACTCTCATGATTGATCAACTCTCACAACAGGGGGTCAATGTCGACTTACGTGCAGACCCGTACTTCGCCATCCCCTACCTGTCTGCGCCTCGGCTTCGGATGATCGGGCACAGATATCCTCCATTCCCGGCTGCCACATACATATCGCTGTGAGCAGGCTGCATGGACTGCCTGCAATGGCCTGGGGAACCTCGCATCATTCATCATCTATTCAAGTGTTATCGCGACTCAAACACCAAGATGAGTACGTATCAGCCTGTTAGCCCGACAGCACCAAGCATCCAACTCGCTTCAATGTCACAACTAGGCGAGGTATTTATCTGGCCGCATTCCCGACATCGAGAGGACATGACATGCTCATTGCATATAGTTGATCAGAAGGGAAGACGACTGGACTGGGACCAAGGATGCTGCAGCACGTAGACGAGCACAGACGAGACTCAACACGAGAGCGTACCGTAAGTGAATGTTATGTTCCCACACTTGGACAAGTCAGGAATCGGGGCCAATCCGACTCAGGGATGGCCTTATATCTAAATTAACAGTCCGGTAGGAAAACGCAAAGCCCTGGAAAAGAAGGCCCACGCATCCAGTTCTACGACCAAGACGCTGATCGAGCCAGAAGCGGCGGTGGAATGCTGGGACGTTGAGAAACAATCCGCTTCTATCGTTCCAGCATCCCGTATGAAGCAACTATACAATGCGAGAAGTCCCCTATTAAAAAAACCCCGCAAAAAGGCTTCTTGGGGAACTTTCTTCCCGCTCTGTCCAGACCACCTCATCACCCTCCTGCAATACAATGTCCTACGTGCTCTGGCTGTCAATCGCACCCTCATCTCTGGCACCCTCGTCACGCCACTCGACTGCAACGAGGAAGTCATCCACGTCATCACTTACCCTTCCCAGCCCAAAGTGCTTCCCCCAACGTTGCTGCCCACCGCTGTTCAGCAAACGGTGCCGCATGGGGACTGGAGTGACATGTTCCCGTGCCCCAAGGCACGAGACAACCTGATCCGGGCCGCCGACACGTTTGACGAGGACGAGTTGTGGGCCGACTGCATCGGCGGGCTATTCGAGGGTTTTCCTGACGACGAGGTCGAGCGACGCGGTATGATTGCGTGGTCGCCGCCCTGGGACATCACGGGTTGGGAGATGTCGGAAAGGTTTCTGAGGAAATGGGGATGGTTGTTTGATGGGATCACAGGGGTGTTGGAGGCAACCAATCGGTGGCGGATCGAGAGAGGAGAAGAGCCACTTACTGTAACAGTATCACAATAGGAACTAGAATATTCGTAACGTAGGTCCTGTATCAAACAGAAGCTGATTCTCACCACGGCAGGTACAAGTCTCCGATACAGGAAGCAGATTGTACCTGTTATGCTTGTCTGACTTGCACGGCCTCCCGCACGCCTCCGTAGCGGCTCGGCAGCAGAGTTTCGTTCAAAATGTAGGTAGATGAGGGACTCATTCATCGACCGAATCTGTAGACAAAATAGTAGCCATGCCGTTTCGAGGTGGTAGTGGGAGGCCACGCAATGATTGTAACCACACTTCCAGTCGGTGCGTTCTGCATCCATGGCCATCCTCACCACATATTCCGCCTGTTGCGTTGCTGTAGGAGGCCATCCTGCGGACACTGCCTGACAAGTGTGGATCGGCTTTATGAGATTGATCAACTCTACGAAAGGAACATTGGTGTACACCTGCCTAATGGGAATCCCTTCTCCTGCGGCTTGGAACTGGCACAAGTCATCTCGCCTGTCCTCGGCCGAGCAGGTATTGACGAGTAAGATAGTCGCTTCTGCGCTCCTGACACTCTCACCAGCAGTAATCCTAGACCATCCCGCTGATCCGCGAGACGGCTTTTCCGGGCGGGCCAAATCTCACCGAAACTTTCTGGCATCAAAGATTGTCGTATCATCCTATACTAATCGTTGGTATGGGAGGAGGCCGGGCTCCTTCCACCATCGCCATGTTCATGTATCAGAGGTTTCGGGCTGTCCTCGAAGGCCATCGTGAACAGGAGACATACAGGTTTGCCTCTCGTCCATTTCCACAATGGCCTCTGCTCACAAGTGGCTGCAGATACGATCCTTCTCTGATTGCTCAGGCTATTTACATCAATATGGAAGACCTCATTCCCCCGGCAGAATCACGCACTTCCCCAGACCTGGCGCTGACGGCCTTTGCTGAGCTCGCTGTCTTGCGTCTCAAAACCTCCCGTGCTTTGATTTCTTTCTTTGATCCGGACTACCAGTACATCGTTGTTGAGACCACGCCCTCACTTCCGCTGACGCCATATGCTGATTTTGCTAATCACGAAGTGGGAGAGCATCTCGTGTTCTGCGACACAGCCGTTCCACGTGTTGCTGGAATTCGCGAGCTCGCCCACGGTATCTCAGAGTCTCCCCCTTCGAAAAGTTCCACGGGCGGCGCCGACGTTTCCGTAACCATCAAACCCGATGTCGCAGCAGACTCAAAGTCCTCGCAACGTGCTTTCTGCTACGTTGCGCCTGAGAATCATTTCTTTACAGGCGTCCCATTACGTACCCCAAATGGCATCGGCATTGGCGTCTTTTGCGTTCTTCACACTCGGTCCCACGGGAGCCAGTAGTGTTTATTTAAAAATTAAATTTGGAGAAGTCTCATGGTACTGGAGCCGGCAATTCATTGGGAGGTTGAATCGAGAAGAACGATGTCCCTTCTCCACAACTTACAGTAGTTTTAGGCACGATGCAGGTGGGAAAGTCGATATTGGCTTTGTCAAGATCCTGGTACTATTATGTCTACTTTAAACGTCTGTCATTGGCTGTTTGCAGTAGGGTTTAGGATCAAACTGGTATTGACTTGCGAATCGGTAGTGCCCCGCAGGGGAAGTAGAACAAGATCCATAGCAATGTAAGGTAGAGGGTCTACGTAAGTACACACGTCTCGCCTTTACAAATTATTATCAATGCAGATCAACACTCAATAAACAATTCGAGCTACTAAAATATATTAATATATAAAGTATCATATAGCTAGTTATATTAGAGTCCAGTTAACAATCACTAAGGTGGGAAGGGTAAATATCTAAGATAACTACAATTGGCATATAAATTTCACTGTCCTTAATAAGCTTGCTGAGTGTATTATAGATTAATCAAGCATTTGGTGATTCTGTGCAAAGAGGATATTGAATGGCAAAAATGAATTGCTTATGGTATCTTTTACTTTTTTATGGCCCTCCTACTCAATTAACCAGGCATGGCCTTCGGTTGCAACAACAGAAAAACCCTAAGACATTGCGTCTCATGTCTACCTTACAACTTGGCAGCAGCCTTGGCAAGGTCGGCAAGGGCCTCACGGCGCTTGAACTTAGCATCCTGGATGACACCAGCATCGGCATCGCTGGAGAAGTTGCCGGTCCACTCGACGAAAGTGCTGTTCTCAAGCTCGCCGGAGGTCACCGGGTAGCAGCGGATAGTGCTGACCACGCTGGTGTAAGACAGCTCAGGCTGGGAGGTGATCACACTGTAGGTGATGTAGTGGTTGATGGTCTGATATGATGGTCAGCACATCTCATGGGCTCCGTCCACGAAGTGATATCGATAGTGTGAACTCACGCTGTGCTCCTCCTGCTTGACCTCGAGAACGGTACCATCCTTGAAGGTCCAGCGGACGATGTCGGTCTCCTCCTGAGCCTTGACAAACTCACTGCCCTTCAGAGCTGACCAGAAGCTCTGGAAGTTCTGGACTATTGGCTCACATACGAAATAAGCGTTTGCCCGAGCCCCAAGGTCTTAAACCATGTACCCCCGCCAAGGTACATGTGTGATGGCTGCACTTACGCTTGATGAAGTGCCAAACATGGCTGAGAGGGGCCTTGATGACGGCGCTCTCGACGACAGAAGTGGAGGTGGGAATAGTGGAGGTGGGAATGGTAGAGGAAGACATGGTGACGATTTGCTGGTGTGTGAATCTTGATTCGAGTGAGGGCAGGTTTCAGCGTTGATGCACAGTTACCGAAATACAAAGAAATTATTTTTCTCCATTTGATGACGTAAAATTGTGGAAATGGAAATAAGATCCGCCGAAGCAAATTTTTGACTGGCCGAGTGTCATCCGTTTGCCCTATTGTCTCTGCTCATCTTATTCGATGCAAGCGTCATACTTATGTGAGAGGCGATTGAGGGGTAGCTGGAACCGCACGATCCCATAGTCAGGTGTACTCTCTTGGTATGCGTCAGTGGCACACGCCCTTTTTCTTGGTAACGCAGTTGCAGAAACAATCATTACACAGCCACATGAGTCTTGACTTGCGGCCGGCATTCCGGATTTTGTGAAAATTTGTCGGCCCCATCGGTGTTGTGGAAAAGGACCCACGCCGATTCCGATCCACCCCGTTTGAACAACACCTTTGGCCATGCTGTCACCGGTTGCCAGTTAGCATGCCGGACGGAAGTCGGATCTCTTCTCGGAAGCAAACGCCTTTGATGCAGGGATGGTCTGAGCCTCCCCCGCACGTAACATTTTTGCTTTCCGGGGAGATAGTATTATCCCCGCACTACGGTAGATGATTGGGGGAAGCCGGCTCTATCCCGCTGGAAAATGTAGGCAGTGGTCAGATGCATTAAATCATTGCCTCGCCGTAGAAAACTGTTAGCCTGGATTAACCACCGCGAGTCATCCTTAACTTACAGCATGTCCGAAGAGTGTGACGTTCTTATTTGCGGCAGCGGCTCGGCCGGTCTCTGTGCAGCCGTTTGGTTAGCCCGAGCTGGTATCAACTTCAAAATTCTCGAGAGACGCGAAGGCATGCTCAAACAAGGCCAGGCCGACGGGGTTCAAGTCCGAACAGTTGAGATTCTGGAGCATCTCGGCTTGTCTGAAGACGTGCTAAAGGAAGCCTGCCACGTTCTTGAACTTGCCTTTTGGTCACCAGACGGAAATGGCGGAATCAGGAGGTCGCATCTCGAGCCGGACACTGAGCCTGGACTCAGCCACCTCCCTCACGTCATACTGAGCCAGGCACGAATCAACGAGTTTCTCATTCAGGACATCGTCAAGTCATCGGGACAATCGCACATCCGGTACAACAATGAGATTTATGAAGTTGTCGTCGACAGTGAAGCAGCTCAGGACCCGAACGCACATTGCGTAACTGTGAAATCAATGGAGAATGGAGTCGAGCGCACCTATCGTGCAAAATATGCTTTGGTTGGTTTTCTTTTCCCCTACTATTCCGTGCAGTATAACTAAAACAGAGGCAAAGGGTTGTGATGGAGCTCATAGCGCTGTCAGAAAGTCTTTGGGATTCAAGATGATAGGGGACAGCACCGATGTGGTCTGGGCCGTGATGGACGTATATCCAAGGACTGACTTTCCCGACATCCGGAAAAAATGTGTCCTTCAGTCTGATGCTGGCAACCTTCTCATCATCCCGCGAGAGGGCGACGAGAAAGTCCGGTTCTACATGGAGATGCCCGTCACTACCACAGCCGAGGTTACACCAGAAAAAGTCAAAGAACGGCTTGATTGTATCTTCAAACCTTACCAGGTCGAAATCGCAGAGACTTCGTGGTTCTCGGCATACTCGATAGGCCAGCGTCTTGCCGACCACTTCACAAAAGATCATCGGGTCTTTTTAACTGGAGATGCGTGTCATACGCACTCCCCCAAAGCTGGCCAGGGCATGAATGTCAGTCTCCAAGATGGCTACAACATTGGGTGGAAGCTATCTGCGGTGCTTCGAGGTCAAGCCCATCCGTCCATTTTGGAGACCTATGTCTCTGAGAGACATCACACTGCCAAGGATCTGATCGACTTTGACCGGCAATTCGCCAAGATGTTCTCATCCTCCTACCGGAAGGCGCACGGCTATTCTACCAAGGACTTTCAGGAATATTTCATCAAGTCTGGTAGATACACTGCCGGGCTTGCGATACAGTACAAGCCTTCTATACTGGTAAAAACTGGTGAGCATGATGATTTGGCATGTGGTATATCACCTGGCATGAGGTTTCCCAGCGCTCAGGTCGTTCGCTTCTCGGATGCTAAAGCCATGCCACTTTCGCAAACTCTGGAGGCGGACTCTAGGTGGTCTCTAGCTATCTTTCCGGGGGATATTGCCCAGAAACACGCGGAACAACGTCTGGTCAAGGTACGTGAACATTGTTGTTCGAGCCTCATATACAGACCCGACGAGACCAAGATCACTAACTTGTATGGAAGCTTGCAAAAAGTCTCGAAGTTGTTCTCAGGCGGTTTGATGAGCCTCAAAAGGAAATGAACAGTTTCTTGAACCCAATACTGGTACTGAAGTCTGACCGCAAGAGTCTAAACGATAAGAAGATTCCCAAATTGTTCACGCCCTACGCAGGGAAATGGAGGGTTAAATGTGAAACCCCTTCCCCCACATGGAATCAAGTATCGCAAGTTCAAAACGCTTACTCTTACTTGGAAATAGGCCTTCAGAACATCTTTGTGGATGATGAAAGCTATCATGCGGGCCACGGACAGGCATATGCCAGATACGGCGTGGATCCCGAAGTTGGTGCCATGGTTCTTATTCGACCAGACCAATGTAAGTCTCATGTGCCCCGAACATATTACTCTGGGCATTGACTCAAATTCCTAGATGTATCTGAAATCTATGCGTTGGAAAACACAAAAGCCATCACGACTTTTTTCGAACCCTTCCTCGTGCGCATGACCAATGGTACCCACAAGACTGGGACTAGTTACAATGTAGAAGACGTTGTATTGATGTAGAATTTGTTAGTCAAGACCCAAATGACTGATTTGCTGTGGGGCCTGAACTATCAAATTGACTGCCCTGAACCTGCAAGCTCCAAGCTTTTGAGTTGCTTCGTGTGAAAGCCCATGTGTTGTTGGAAGACGCTTACTGTAAACCTTAGAAACCTATTGGTACGCAGACGAATTAAGTCAGCTCAAGCCTTCGGCTCGACTTTCTCAGCCACCTCTGGTGGCGTCCTCAAGTTAGGTGACTGGCCGTCGATTGCTGGCTTCTTCCTTCCTTTTATACCGAATAAATCCTTCAACATCATTTGACTAGTACGCACGATGGTGCTTCGAGACTCAAAGATCGGCAAGAAAACGACCATTATCATGGATGCAAACAGCCATGTGATGCCCACCACGACCCAACCGGTAAAGAACTGTACATAGTCAGAAAAGGCTGTATAAACCTTGAGCCTTCTCACGGAGTAGGTTATAACTCACAGATTTACCAAAAACGTAGCCACTGCCGTATAATGGCATTGGCCAAAGAATTAGCAGGACGAGAGTAACGCCGACAGTAAGCCAACGAGCAGTCTTGGCGGCTTTGTCGAGCTTGGCTTTCTCATCTGGGCCACCAAGCGCTTGTATCTGAACCGTTGGAGCAGTCTCAATATCCATGCTTGCGCCATCAGCAAAGTCGCGATCATCCGACTGGCGGATATTAAGCATGCTTTGCCAGTCATACTTCTGGGGCTTGAAGGGTGGGATGAACGTCAATAGCGGAATGAATAGAAGAGGCGAAAGAAGCGAGGTTAGGTTACCAGCCAGCATCGGTCCATTGGCGCCTGTGTTGGTTACACTAAGCTCGCCGTACATGATCTTCGTTGTGACTAGCCATGCAGTCATGGAGAGGACGAAGCCAATGATGGGACTGAAAGTCGCAGCGGCCCAGGATTGACCGCTCCAAAGAAGCGTCAGGGTGGCAGGTAGCACGGCAGATGAAATGATGACGCCCATCATGAGATAAAGGTAACCCATGGAGATTCCGACATAGTTCAGGCCTGTTGCGAAGCCGGCCATGAATAGAGCGAAGATTCCCATGCCGATGTAGTTGATGCGCATAAGTTGCTTTCCGGTTGCTGAGGGGTTGAAGTATGTCTTGTAAATATCATAGGTGCAAATTGACGAAACGGCGATGAGCTCAGACGAGTATGTGCTCATGATGGCCATAAACTCCAAACCGTTAGCTACCTCTTGCTTTCATAACTGATTTTCACAACTCACGGCTAATATCAATGTTGCTACAGCACCTCCTTTTCCTAAAAGTGCAACCGCAGCCGTAGGTAAAACCAAACCGGCATCGACATCCGCCGGAGAGAAACGGTTCGGATATGTGGGCCATACATCGTACGTTTCTAGGGCGAGACCGGCAAGGCCCATGGTTGTCGCAGTTAACCACGGTACGGCGAACCAGCTAATGCCGCTGTGTCATGTTAGCACTGAGAAACCACGGACCATTGGCAATATTGACTGACCCCATAACATATCCAGGCAAAGCATCAATAGGCGAAGCCGCAATTGCTTTGTTTTAATATCCGTTATCGAGGAAAACAGTTCCGAAATTCCCGCAGAGGTTGATGATGAAGAACTCGGCTGGATGCGTATTAGGCCTTTATGAACTGCATGTCCTTGACATGTAATGAAGGAGCTTACCGCCTCCCTGAGAGCGCATGGTTAGGTAACTGCCACCAGAGTTCCCAGATAGAGGGCGCTTAGCTGCCAACTCCGTAAGGATCTCCCATACTCGCCCGGGAGATCCCAAGAGCTCGTTGGTCGAGTAGACCGTGAAGGCAAACACGAAGATGATGACAAGGATAACCAGCCCATTGATGTAGTCAGTGATGAACGTAGCCTTGATGCCTCCAAATAGGGTGTATACGACAACGCCTATCATGATTGTTAATACACATCATCACTCAGCGATTTAAGTCCTTTGTTGCACCGCTCACCAATTGGGAAAAGAAACACAGAAGCAGCCACTGGCGCTCCCGTCAGATTCTGGATTACGGCTGAGCCACCTGTAAGAAGCATCGCAGTGACTGGATTTTCAAATCAGTGACCTATTCGTTGCAGAGGAAATCTTGCGGGGTTCACTGCGTACCGAGAATGTTGCAGAAGCAGCAGAAGACAATGTAAACACCATGAGTGATGGGGCCATATCGGGCCTTGACAACCTCTAAGACTGAGATGATGTCCACGTTAGCCTACAACCGTGAACATGTGGCGCGAGACTTTACATGTGTGAGCATTCGGAGCTCGCCTTTTCAGTTCGATGGCTAGCGTGGCGAAAAGAATGATCTGGACCGTTGCACCAGAGGCATACCACACAGGGCCAGAAACGCCGCTACAAATTCGTCAATCCCACTCGAAGCCACCGGCGTGTGAAAATCTCACTATTTGTAGGCAACGGCTGTGCTCTGGAGAAGCGTTGCGGCCCATGTCCATGTCGAGAGGACGGAAGAGGCAACCTATGCAGAATGAGCAACTCCGTTGGATCGATTGATACATGTATGCAGATGCACCCACCAGTCCGGACTTGAGAGATCGTCCTGCGGTTGTGAACATTTCCGAAGTCTGCAGCTCAGAGTTGTATCTCTTGAGCGCCCATGTAATGATGATCATGAAAACGCTGTGTGGACGGTCAGTCTGGTTCGCGCCTAGAGTGAGTAGAGACGTAAAGCATACGCGAACAGGATACCAAGGCCAATCATAAGACCATATCTGCAATAAGTAGTTAGCATTCTTCCCATGCTTCTATCACATTTGGAGCAAGACTAACCCCCAGCCTTGGTTGAGAACCGGTGTCGAATCCATGATCGCACACTTCGCGTCAATGTTGTTTCTGTATCTTGTAGGTTACACGAATGGGCACTCGGAGTCACTCCTCGAACAAAATTGTATCATGCTGGAATGGCCGAGTAAGTAGCTATATAAACGCAAATCCTATTTGCTTGGAAAGCCTTCGGGCCGCCGGCCGCCGTGGACCCATGTATCTGACGTGCGTCCGATGCCCATCACATCTTTGTAACACTTTAGACCGCTCATATCAGTACTCGGAGCTGATAAAGACATCTTGCCAAGAGAGTCCGCAGCTATCTGCCGTAGCCAATCGTACTTCCTAAGAGATAAGGTCATTTGAATGGGATAACGTGGGGCCGAATGACTTAGGCGACATTGGTGTTGGTAGAAGGCGCCGCTGCACCTTGGCGTGGGCAAGCTAAGAGTCCGGTGTAGATAGAAGACTCATAAATGTGTTCGCCACACTCAAGGATTCCGGCCACACATCCATGTTCCCTGTCTGTTCGTTGCTGACTTGCAAGGTCTGAATCCATATGCAGCGGCGCCGAGACGCTGACTGGAAGTGAACGAGTTCTGAATGGCTCAAGTGTGGGCGGCCAAGGCTTTGCTATTTCTTGGAAGTCAAGCTCTTATCATTTCCCAATTAGAGACCGAGAAAAGATAAGACTGTGCAAATCTGATATTCTGCTTCTCATAACCGTGTGCATTGGTCTCTGAAGGTCATAAATGCTAGCAGCAGAGTGCGAATTGTATCAAGCGAACCTGCAACAACAAAACCGCTGCCCATGTCTACAATACAGACAAACATCATTGCAATATCTCTTCACCCTTCAACTCAGATATCATGTAACTTTCTTTCCCAACGCAGAATCCTTCGAAAAACAGATCTTCCTGGTTTGCATCAGGATCCCAATCGTCATCAAATTCCTCCCCATGCTTCTCTCGACCAATCTCATGGAACAAGTCTTTCAAGGCATCATCGGGCTCCCAGCTCCCAGTTCTCCACTCAAATAAACGAACATCACCATCCTCGGAATCTTCAGATGACGCTGATTCTGGTCTATCAGGCTTTGTTTCCGTTCCGGGCGCATTGTAGCCAATTCCCCAGCCCAAGGACCTTTTGTTGTTCATCATGTCGAAATGGCTGTGGTAGGAGAACCTTGGCCTCGCATGGTTTCCTGGCGACCACCAGATGGGCGACCATATCATGGCCTCTTTCAAACGAGGCATCTTTGCGGCTGCTTTCGCATATGCAGAAAGAAGTGGACGGAGTGTTTCTGGGTTGGGCTTCAGACGCCATCCTGACGGACGGCAGGGAGCATGCCCCATTATGATGGTGCCGCCTTCGGTATTCTGGCTCTCGCCAAGATATTCGATACCATCAACGGGATACCCTTGAACGCCGTTACCTTCCCCACGGGGCCCCAGAAAATACCATGATCCCAAAGGAGTGGTCGGATGAAACTTGACTTCTAGTGATTCCATATTGGGCCAAACATCACCTTCTCCATCGTCAGGCCAGAAGAATGACTGGTCAATGATAGCACTGAGTTGGAGCTGGGTGAGATAGCGACAAAGAACTCGGAGACTGGAGCTGAACGGGTCTCGAGGACCCCCTCGGACAAGATTTGGCATTGCCGAGTCGTGGTCAAGAACCTCATGAGCCTTTCTTCTCTGCAAAATGATCTCGGCCCGCTTGACCTGCAATGACATGGTCTCGGCAACAAGTGCGAATTCTTCTCTCTCATCGAATCGGGTGCGTTCGCACTCTGGGTCGCAATTGTGCTCATCCAGGAGGTCGATCCGCAGCATTCCCAAATTCGGCAGCTTGGTCGACAAGTCCAGAGGTGTTCGTAAGGGAAGCTTGTTATATAAACTCGGATCTTGCAGACTTGCAGGTGGGCCAACGTAAAGAGACCCGATACTCTGAAGCACATGAACCTGCTCCAGACCATGCAGGTGAATATGCCGGCCTGCAGTCAGCCTGGTGGATTCAGGGTTCTGCCGCTCTGGGCTAATGATCTTCAGCTGTATTGTTCCCTTTGGCCCTTCAGTACCCTCAAGGACTTTCAATGCGTTGAAAAGCGCATGGATCTGGGTTGATAGGTCGTCTTTGCAAGCCTGGTCGCCGGCCGGGTCATCGGGTGCGTTAACGTCATCGTGGCCTACACCTCCCGGCAACCTCAAATCAAATTCGACCTCTTGGAGCCAACAAAAACGGGCGCCGCGGAACTTTTCAACGAAGTTGTCAAGATCCTTGTAGTGCAGTTTGCACTTGGTGAGCCCCTCAGAGTGCTTTTCCGCCGCCATACGGAGCGTCGGCGATAGCAACAAGAGGTTCTTCAGATCAGGTCGATAGAGGTTAGAGGCGATTTGGTCGACAACTTCTTGGGGCAGGGTCTGCATGATTGTTGTTATTGACGAAACTTTCAGCCGAGCTTGAGATTGACGAAAACACAAGAATAGAAGTAAGCAAGGCCACAAATGCAATGTTTGAGACCTCTCCGCATGCAGTGAAACTTTGCTTGCATGGGCTGATTATGCCGGGGCGAGACAGCAAGCGCAGTGTGGCGCACCAAGTCTCTCAGCCGTGGCTTACTCAAAATTGTTATGCGGAATGCTGTTACTTTACTGACGCATTCGGCATAATGTTTAGAAGTTCCATTAGAATTCTATTTTAATTCCAGATTGTACCCTATCTCTAGCGTGGCCAATTCAATGTTGTGCATATGTGTTCTTAATTTGTTCGTGACGCCGCTGGCCATTGCCCAGAGCCAAGGCGTCGTTGGGCATACGTTATATCCTGCTCCACTGGCTCCAGGATTCCACCCGCACTATCTTGAACTTATTCACTACACGTCACCCGGATTCAGTATAGGTAAAAGACTCCATGTGCCGCTCAATCAACCTTTCCCGCTATGGTTTACGGCATATGTTGTCACTCAATATCGTATGTGTCATAAACTTGAATACATCTGTGCGTTACCTGTCTATTGGGAATTCCATGTCAGGTAGTATTATGGCGCTAGGTGACCATTGGCTACTGGCCGCGCGCCAGCCTGATATACAAACAAGTCATATCGTGAATATCAATCCGGGCTCTAGCGAGGTCTCGCAGTAATAGAGAAGACAGATTGAAGAGATCAAGTGCTCTTTGCAATACTCATACATAACATGGATGGAGATATTCTTTAGTAGTATGCTAGCCTTTGACTTAGGTCTGGATCAAATGCGACTAAGATGAGCGTTAAATATTTGATGCGGCCATGATCTGGATTTTTAAGAGTACGACAATACAATGATGATCGCGTATGGGTTATCGATCATCTGCCAAGCCAAGTAATACCACGGTAAGAGGCCCTCCGTGAACCGGGCCCATCCGTGCGTCCACATTTTCGTCATAAGCCTCGAGTTGAAACTAAGCTAGTTTGTAGACCTGATTTCAAGAAATGTGTTCAGAAATCCTAATAGCTACCGAGATATTATAGAAATAGCTGCATAAAAATAATAGTAATAATAGGGTAGGTAGGGATATAGGAATGACTGTCTGTATATTGCACTTGCATTGGTTATGATAATGATCGGTCGTTCCCTTTCTTACACAATAACACCGGATCCCTTCTTGCTGCTCTCTCCCTTTGCCTAGAACCTTGCAGCCAACTGATTCATCCCTCTACACTAACCGAGTTTAGAAGTATGATATTCAAAATCAATCCTTCCTTCCACGCTATACCCGAGTTTGACTACGTATTTGCTTTTTGAGCCAGATGAAGTCGTAAAGGCCTACAAGGAACTGCAAAATATAGCCAGATAGCAAAGCTGAGCCCCCAACAGCGGTAAAGATACTATATAGGAGACTTAGAATAGCCACAACTGCTATCCAAAGGCCGAATGTCACCGACAAAACTCTCCGTGCGATGGAGTTTGTACAGTGATTCAAGTGAAATTTTATGTATATATCCAGTTGGATGAAACATGGTATCAAAGCCATTGCTGTGGCGGGTGCCATGAAGCGTTCAACTGCTAGGGGTCCTTCGTATCTTATATCTTCCAAGAAAATGAAAAATAACGTCGTGGCGATTATTGAGGGGCTGCTGATTATGAATAGAATAGAAAATGTCCAACTTTCAGTCAAGGCATTGGCACTTTCCTGAAGACGACGTGCAGGTAAGCTTTTGCAGAGTGCTTGGTGATTAATAAGTTCGGTAAGTTGACTTTCTTGGCAAGAGATTCTCTCAGATGTTGGGAGTAATGGACGAGTTTGTACTGTATTGCCCCAATTACCCTATCAGCATGATTCTTGTCTTTTTGTTTTCTTTTTTGTTTGATTCTCTGAACAAGGAATCCCTTCACAATAAAACTCCACGGCTTTTGCTTACCAATATTCAGGGAGGCATTTAGACATGGACTCTGGTGGTCCTGGTGCAAGGACAGAAGCTCCATATTGTGCGTAAGGCTGGTGTTGCCTTCATAAATAGCGTTATCTTGTGTTCTTTCTGCTTCCGACAACGGATCACTAGGGCTTACGGTCTCCGCTATACTGTTGTTACTAAAGCTAGTAGAAAGTGTAAACAAAAAGACTGGCTTACAGGACTGATGGTTAGGAGAGCTAGTTGGTGAAGTAATATTTTTGTAACGAGGGACTGTGTTGTTGAATCAAGAGTTAGAACAGGGAATGGTGATCTGGTGGCTGTATTGAACCTACTGCTTAGCGTCAAAGAAAGTCTTGAAAGCCAACTCGAATATAGGGAGCAGCGAAGATGAAAAAAGGGCAACAGAAATGATCTGTCCAAATGTCCAGTCATCGTCTTCTTCATATGTATCGATATTTCTGAGGTCCTTAAGCAAATTGATGCTCATGATTCCCCATATAGCTGACAATATAACGGGGTAGACCTATAAGACTTTGAAATCAGCATTTTAGATCTGTTTTGGCTGCCATCGGAAGTCCAGATACATACCTCAGCAAGCACAGACGTATAAAGGTATAAAACCACTCTAATTGTGCAGTACAGTGATGCCTGAAAGGGGAGAATGACCATTCCAAGGACTATTAACCCCTCAGACTTTCTGCAGCTGAGCCATTGTTGCCATTTGTGGATTAAAGCATTGTATCCTCGATCCAATGCACCTTGGATGCCTTGTGACATAATTTGACCCGGGCCTTTAAAGGTCTTCGCAACTCGGATGAGAAAACCTTATACTAGCAGAATGCGGGATAAAACCATAGAAACGTATGCTTTAGATGATTTGTTCATACCCCACTTGAAGAAGCACAAAGCAGGTGATTCGTAAAGAACTCCAACAGATTCAGCTGATGAATAGATCTGAAGATACCTAGGCCCGTACGATACGCTTATCAGGAATAGAATTGACGATTTCAGGCCGTTCAAGAGAAAAGACTGGTGCGTTTGAAATGGTGCAGTTCTTGAGGCCAAGTGTGCCGTTTATCAATAACTCTGCATCAACCGCATCATACGATTTGTGGCGGTCCAAGTAATATAGTGAATCGTTATGTCGAAAGTCATCGCAGTTCTCAGGATATATTGCCAGCCCGAGATCGATGGATTTGGCGCCAAATCCTTCATGGCCCAGGAACTCAATGTGGCCGGTCGGTACAACTGCCACGAATAGGAGGATAAGAAGTACAGACAAAAGAGCAAGACGCCATAGCCGTCCGTCGAAGTGCTTTGCAAGATACGCCCGCAAGAATGTAAGAGCCGACAGATGGGTTACACTAGAAAACCAAGCAATATATACTACCATTTCCCAATGATAAGCACTCAGGCCTGAACCACGCCAGAGTGACAAGTACCCGCTCACGAGGATGGATAGACCAGTGATCAATTGTGTGTCGGCAAGGGAGAGTATGCACTAAGTGCGTAAGTAACAGGACAATATTAGGGATCGGGATAGGGGTATTCGGGAGCCAACCTTGTGGAATGCGTCTTCAGCTAGGCTTCCCCTGATATTTTTGCCTATCCGTAAATATTTCGTGTATCTGGCCACAAGTTCATCGACCGGATTTGGAGTGTAAGACGTTGAGCTGTTCTCCCCATTCGTGTTTGAGAAAGGGTCCGCGCATGGATCAAAGGCAAATGTGCAGTAAGCGACGAGGACCAGGATGATCAACCACGCGCTGATGATAAATCCAAGGATAACCTGAACGATCCGAGATGATGTGTCAGGAGGTAGATAGACTGACTGCTTTCTATATCAGGCTTAGCGTTGTACATATCTGCTAGCTGCTATAGGATACCTGCTAGCTACTATCCCAAACTCTCGAGAGGATACGGGTACGGTAGTCTTACATTCTAAACAACGCCTAGTTTTCCTTCTTTTTTCGTAATCGCAGTGAGGGCTGGATCGCCTTGGGATTGCGTAATTGATAGATAGTCTCGCGCTGGGGCGGTGTCACAAATGGTGGTGCCCTCAATGCATATGAATACGCCCTTTAACACGCGCTGTAATCAAGGCATCACTGCCAGGCTTAGCTTTTGCGGAGATGACTAGGTCGGGTGCTGAGCTTATCAAGACAGAATCGATCTATTTGATATGGAACATTTAGTAAAAATACTTTTTCAATGCTTGTGATATTGATGAATAGTCTAAGGTCTACTAGGATGACTGATTTCACTTTACAACTCCATCACGTGTCGGATACAATCTTTCTTATAGATGGACGAGGCGCCTCATCGGCCTACAAGTCTTCGCTCGGCATAACGCAGAGGTAGGTAGAGAAGAGCACTTAGGACGAAGGCAACCTCAAAGCCAATATCTCCGGTTGTGACTGCGATAGGACCCGTAAACCAGACCTGGGAAATACAGGGAATGACCAGCGCAAAGCTCAGGGCGGCAGCACCGATCGCGGCGAGACCCCATGGCAACTTCGAGGAGTCTTCCCAGATAACAGCCTCGTACATGTTGTAGTTTGCGCGGCGGAAAACCCAGTGCTCAACGACCACGATTCCCACGAATGAGGCCGACCAGTAGCCGATGAGCGCGATGAAGTTTTCGAGATTGAGAAAGAAGTCGTGAGCCGCTCGGATTGAGATCGGAATGATGATGGCAGTCACAATAACCGAGAAGATGTATCGTGGCAGTCGGAACGAAGGGATCAGAGTCTGGAAATTCAGAGTAATGGCGTACATTGTGCCAGAGATGTTGGCGAGCATTGTGAAGGCGAGCACGACAAGGATGAACTTTCCAAAGCCGCCAGCTGGGGAAAGCATGGCTCCGAGAACACCACCAACCAGCGTGCTGTTGAAGCCGTCCTGCCACGCGGGGATGCTGCTCATGGCACCCCCGATAGCTGCGCCCAAGGTCATGAGCAAAATGGTCGGAACGAGCAGTCCCAGATAGCTGTAAGCGAAGATGCGGTGGCTGGAGAGAGTAAGCGCAAGTCTTGAGGACAAGGGTTTTTGGCACCTACGATACTAGTCGCTTCGTGGGATCAAAGTAGGTCGTCAAATCGGACGCGATGCAAGCCCACGGGATCATGTAGGACGCGATCACACCACCAAAGCTGAGAACCCCAGATGCCGTTGCCGGCTCGGCTGGAGCTTGCAACTTGAGCTGCTCGCCGCCGCAGCCGACGGCAATGACTATAGCGACCAGAGCCGGCATCCAAGCGTAGCCTTCGTAGAAGTGCAGCACGTTGAACCCGCAGAACGATATCAAAAGTGCTGAGATCCCGATCAAGACGATTCCAACTGCGGTTGACAGGTCGCCTTCTGAGACTGCTGAAAGACATTGTCCTCCGATCACGCAGATAATGACACAGAATCCGGTAAGGGTTGCCAAGTTGAGGACGACCGGAACGTATACGAAGTAATAGCTACACGAAATTGGTTAGCCAGTCTTGAAAGCCGATCTATGTGGTCACCCGGCATCACAGATGCTAGTCCGAGTAACCTATTGGCTTACCCAAAACTGAACCGAGCTTGGATCATCTGCCGCATGCCTGTCTTGGGGCCCCAAGTTGCCAGATACGCCGGGGGCAAGGTCGATAAGAGGTTGAAAAAGAGAATCACAAGTGCCGAATCGCGGAGACCGAGTCCAAAGGAAACCGGGCCCAGCATACCGAATGTGATGCTAACAAAAGTAAGCACAAAGGACCAGCAGAGTTTCGGGGCTATTGAGCCTCAGAGCCTTACGCCAGGATGTTGGTATTGACTGAGCACCAAATCGTGAAAGCATTGAAGTACTTGGTGTTTGTCCGGGCCTCGAGCGGGATGGGCTGTATTCCACCCTCCTCGACCCGTCCCGCCATAAGGACTTTCTGCACGAAGCTCTTTCCATGTAGGCTAGCTGCTGGAAGCTGAGGCGCATTGACATCTTCCCTGATTTGCTTGTCGTCGTGGCCCTGCCGGCCATCTTGGCTCTCTAGAAGGTCCGCCATGTGGAACAAAACTGCAAGGCAGTGAAACCCTGTACAAGCGAATGTTGGAGTAATAAAGGCCAGACGACAGTGGCAGCGGGGTTGCTTCGACGTCGGAATATGTGACTCAACGGCGTGATGTTGGAGCAAGAAATTTTGTTGCCGAACGTCCGTGCGTTGATCATATATAACCAGGTAATAATAATTAATGAAGATTCGACTTAGTCAACCCATTGGTTGACTAGAGAATGGTGTCGCCATCGACCCATTTTTCTATTCGGTGCTCTAGGTGAGTGAGTGGCGGGGTTGATAGACTTTGGCATGATAAGGGTTTTCTTTTTTTCCTTCTCACCGGCTAGGCGGCACAACTCAGTGGAGGAGAACGCGGTAGGGTTACAAAGCTAGGTTGAATTGAAGGTGTATTTGTCCCAGCAACATTTCTCATAAAGTACGCATCCCAAATGTCAAAAAGCTTTTGATAAATGACAACGCCTATCAAAACTAGATATTATAGGGTGTAACAACCAAAGTCTCCGTTAGAGACACGCCATTCCAATCGTATACATTAATCACTGAACTTGTTCGCCTGTCGCTATGGAATTGGATACGTAGACGTCGTTATCAAGCCAAGTAAGGTTTTGAGACTCACCGCACCTTATTATTCCGTCTTCTTTTGTTCTGTTTCGAGCCATTCTTGGACCTTGACTTTGGTGGTGGTGGCAATGCCGGGTTTTTGGTTATTTTACGCAGATTGTGTGAGTTTTGTCTTCTTCTTTTTCTTCTTTTTCTTTCCCTTCTCTGACTTGGCCCCCGTTTGGCCCATTACGGACGGAGAAGACGTCAAGGTCTTCGCCAGAATTACCTAGGCTTTACTATCAGAGCACACTTATATTCCTCGCAAGATGTTGCCAAGTGTCTCTTGGCGTATGGTCAGCCTTGACGTCAACCAGCTACATATGGTCATACTTCAGCATACCTATTCCAGACTTTACAGCTCTCCAGGCACGAGATTTACGCCCAACTCCAAAACGATCGATCCAGGATTTGGTCTCGTCACACGGCCAAAGCTGGTGTGACGAATTCCTCGCCTCTTCGCTTGTCGCGTCCGGGTGAATAACATCAATTCTTTTGACGGATCCGTCCCGGAGAAGACCTTGGATAATGGGTATTTCGAAGTCTTGCAGACTTGTCAAGCCAGAAGGGTGGAACTGGTTGGGGGGAGGCGGCAATAGGATCACCACCCTGTCGCCTTGGGATATGAACCATGAGAATATGGCCGACGCGCCTTTCATAAATTTGCTTCTTGCTTTCCTTCCCTTTGACTTCTCTAGCGCTCTCAATGGACCCAAAGCTGTTGTTAGAGTCTGTCTCTGATGAGTATCCGCCCACTTTTGTGCTTTCTCTCGCTCCATCCCGCTCCAGAGGACTTGTCGGTCAAGCTCAAGCGAGCTGAGAAATTGATTGCAGATCAGCCCGGCTTCTTTAACACTGATATACTTTGGACAAATAGTCCTCAGTAGATGTCGAAGTCCTGTCTGTTCTTCGATTAAGGACGACATTGTAATTTTGGCTAAACAGTGCAAGGAGGTGGTACAGATTGATGTTTTTGTGAGCTTACGTTGGCATAAGGCTAGACTTCAAGATGTGGACTTCCAAGCGGAAGAAGGCAGCTATTTGTGTCTGAGAATTTTGCACTAATCTATCATTTTGTTGAACGACGAGCTCGTGTCGCCAGGTATAGACTCTTGCCTTCAATGGAATCACACCAATTTTCCGATAACAGCACCCTAACCTACACTAACATACTACTCGGTGCACCCTTCTAGCCGGGCAGGGGTATTGCTTTATGACGTAAACTGTAGAGGAACTCAATCTTCCATCCCAAGGTTCGGCGCTTAAGCTGTATCTGTTGATGAAATCTTGCTATACGTGCCTTTCGGGACGATGCGTCTACTAAGATCGTCACCTAGCTGATATTAGGCTCTAATCGGCAACGGTGGGAAAGTTAGATAACAGCCCGTACTTCGAATAAGAGCTACTTTTTAATTAGCTAAGCAACTTAAAGTAAAACCTTGGCCTGCAAGATGTACTATTACTACCCTTGTGCCTAATTACTTACCTTACTGCCTTCTTCTTGCTGCGTAAGGCCTATAAGATAAGCTTTATTACCCCTCTTTATAATACTATTAATGCTATACTTTATAGGTTATAAGTAAAGTTATTATTATTATTATTATTATTATTAAATAACATAATAAATAACTAGTAAGAAGAAGAGGGCTTATTTATTAATAATAATAGTATAGTTATTACTATACCTATTATTAAAGACTTAACTAAAATTATAGCGCTACAGCTAAAGCAGTAAAGAGTTAAGCAGCTAGGTATAAGTAACAAGGCTAAGGTTATACCTTCTTTAATTAATAAAAGCACTAGTATGTAACTATCTATTAGAAATATTAGTTAAGCTAAAAAAAGGGCTTATACGCTATAGACTACTAACTTAACCTACTGCTTTATAACTAAGCTTCTTATCCTCTACTAAAGCTATAAGCTAAATACCTATAAGGCAGCTATATAAAAGCTAGTCTTTAATAAGCTTATAAGGCAGATAAATTTATAGTACTAGTTTTATAATACTATAATAGGTAAGTAGTTAGGTAATAAGTATAATATTAAGAGGAAAAGATATAAAACCTAGGTAAGTATTACCTATAAATTAAGTAATAATTTTACTAATAACAGTAAAGTCCTCTGCGCTAAAGAGGCTAAAGAAGCCTTTCTTACTAACTACCTATAGTATAAATAGGTATTTAAAAGAGGGATAGGGCCGCTAGGCCTATACTATAAGATATAGAGCTATATATACAGTAAGGGCAGGAATATTTAGTCTATAGATAACTTAGTGTAAGAGCTAGATTCTTTAGGTAATAAAGAAGGTATAAATAATAAGGAAGAAGACACTATTAATAATAATATATTATTAAATTAGCCTAGTTAAGTATTACTATTATTAGGATTAATAGATCTTACCTTAAGCCTAATTTAGTAGTAATAATTACTACTATCTTTATTCCTACTAATTTAAAAGTAAGGCAGAGCTCCCTTAGGCGCTAAAGCCTATATATATATAGGCTAATTACTATAGTAATTTAGCTATAACATAAGGGTAATAAAGAATAAAGATATAAAAGAAAGGCTGCTAGAGGTTAAGATAAAGCTTAAGATAAGCTGCACATAGGCTAACTTAGTAAGGTTTAAAAGTAAGGTAGATCCTATAGTCTATCTTACTATATCTATAACGTTAGTAATAAGGCTAGAGGGGTTACTTATATTATAAGTAGCGTATTAGAACTTCTTACTAAATAACTAGATAAAAAAGGTGTATATTACTAGCGTTATAGCCTAGCAGACAGAGGGTTAAAAAAGGGCAGTTAGATAGGTTAAAAAAAGGTAGTTAGATAGGTTAAATAGTTACTAGTTATTAGTGTTTTTTTACTTACTACTGTATATAAAAAAAACTATACTTTTTTACTTTCTTACTTACTACTATTACTATAACTCCTCTACTGTCTGTTAGTAAATAATAACCTTACTTTACCCTTTATATAACTAATTAGCCCTACTTTTTATTATAATAAGATTAACTTTATTAGGTATTTCCCCTTACTAACCTCTTTTTTAGTAATAATAAATAAGGAAGTTATATAGGGCTGTAACTATATATATAATTTTTACTTAGGTTATAACCTTATACTCTAGCGCCTGCCTACTAAGGATCTACTACTTCCTTTTTAACTAGCTAAAGACCTACTTAACTATAACGTAAAGGCGACTATAGTATAAGTTATATAGCTCCTCTGCTGTTTCTAGTGGTCGCCTAGAATCTCTCTAGTCTTATAAATAATAACACGTTTAACTATAGGGAAGTATAATACTACTTTATCTACTAAACCTAGTTGTCAGGATATTTAACTATTTAATAGTGGAGCCGATCTATAGTCACGTGATTTACTATCACGTGACTTACCCTGGCGGCTTACTTATACTACTATAAATACCTATAGCAGTAACCTCTTCTCTTTTCCTTTCTTATTATCTTTACCTAGCTACTAATAGTTAATTAATACTATTATAGCTATATTAATTATAATCCTTATAATACTAACACTAATTAGTAGTTAACTTTATAGTTACTACTACTATAGATTAGTAAGGATTATTAGAAGAAGCTATAATACTTTACTTACTATAGTAGCTTAGATTAAAGTATTAAAGTGCTACCTAGCCTAAAGATTATTAGTACCTAGGGTCTTATAATACTTAGTAAATAACCCTTTAAGCCTTACGTTTACTATATAATAACTACTATTACTACTATTAACTTTATTACTTTTAAAGAAGTTTTTTTCTTTATATACTACTTACTTACTAATAACCTTTATAGTATTTAGTATAATTATCTTTTTTTTATACTTAAGTTTCTTTAAGTTCTTTTTTTTTATCTTTTAACCTTTTTTTTTTCTAATTATTAAGATTTTTATCTTATTAAGTTTTTATCTTATTATAGTAGTAACAGCCTATATAAGATTATAAGTAAACAGACTTCTATAAGTTCCTATCTAAATAAGATCTTACTAGTAAAACTAGCTATAAACTAGTTAAGTAAGAACTACTTAAGTAATCTATTTTTAATATAGTATTTATAAATAAATAGCTTCTACTAACCTTACCTTTATATACTTTTAATATTATATTATTAGCTAGGTGTAGCCTATAGTAATTATAACTCTTTTCTTTAACTAGATAGTTAGTAGCTAAGCGTTACCTTTAGTAAGTACGCCTTCTTTTGTTCTTTAAGTAAGGTAAAAAAGGTAGAGGTTACTTATATTACTTTAATTTACTTACTTTTTCTTATCCTTTAAATACCTATTAATAACTATACTATCCTCCTTACTTTCTCTCCTTCTTTAAGTAAGGTATAGTTATTAGTAACTAATATAACTTTTACTTAACTTTACTATCCTAATTAATTTAAGAAGACTACTTATTATTTACCCTTAAGTAAGGTATATAACCTTAACTTCTTACCTTTCTTCTTTTAAAAATCTTTAACTATAGTATCTTACTTACTAAAAGGTAAGGTCTATATATGTCTTTTTTTAGAGGTAGTATACGTCTCCTCTTGTTCTTTAAGTAAGATCTACTATAAGGCCTCTCTAGAGCTATGTCTTTATATTACTAAAGCGTAAGGCCTCCCTAGAGCTATCTACTACTATCTATTTATTTATTATTTTATCTCTTTATTTACTTTATTTCTTACTTATACCTCTTTATATTATATTATTTATTTACTTATTTTATTATTATTTATACTAATAGTAGTAATTCCTTTAACGTATAGATTTACCTTTAACCCTATAGGTAAGAAGTAAGTGCCTATAATTAAGAGGTTAGTAAGGCTAATAGAGGGTAATAATAGTAGAGGAAGGACTAAGTAAAAAGTAAAGTAAACTACAGGCGCTAGCTAGGGTAAAGAAGTATATCTATCTATAAGATATTAAGGATCTATATCCTATCCTAAAGTGTAGCTAGCCCTTTATTATTATATAACTATAAGGTATAACTAATTTAGCTAATATTCCTAACAGCCTTACCTAAGTTAAGTAATATAACGCCTTAAGCACTATTATTATACTTTAAATAATATAATATAGCTTTATATAGCTATATAGTTAATAGCTATAAAGATATACTACTAAAGACTTTAAAAAATAGTTACTTAATGCCTTTAAAGGTACTACTTATAAAACTATTATTAAATTTAAAGACTACTTAATATATAGGGGCGTATAGGTATTAATAGTAAAGTTACTAACTGTTACTAAATAAATCTACTATACCCTTAAGGCTAATAATCTAAAGGTGTAAACACTTAAGAATATTAAAGAAAAGAAAAAAAAAAGTAAGGATTTTTACTTAAAGATTAATAAACCTAACTTTATATAAGATATTATAGACCTACTACTAGAAATAATATTAATATAAGATTAACTAGGCCCCTCTTATATTATTACCCCTTTAGTATAAGTTACTTAAGTCTAGAAAGGTTAATAAAGGCCTATTAATCTAGCCTTATTATATAATAACCTAAATTTTATTTCTTTACTATTTAAGTAGGTAAGTAACGCTTACCCTTACTTATTAGTTATACTAGTTACTACTACCTTACTTATAACTTACTAGCTTACTAACCTTATTAAATTATACCCTAATAAGATAAAGTATAGTAGAGGGGTATATAAGTTACTTAAATTAAAGCTTATAATCTTTTATAACTACTACGTAAAGGCTAGGATCTAGTAAGAGCACTTTATAAGCGCCTTCTTTATTATACTTAAAGGTAAGGCTATAGAGTACTATACTAACTATTTTTATAACTAGACTAACTTTATTACTATAGTTATATAAATAAGAGGTAATTTTAAGAATAAAGAGACCTTTTAGGCCTGCCTTA